TTGTGTGAATTTTTACTATAAATATAGCCACAAGTTCCCAGGATTGCCGCTGGGCTTGAGGCAGTCCGAGAAACATGACCTTAAATTCCCTTAACCAAGAAACAAACCTAACCTCAAATTTAGGTCAAATTTTGGCGGGAAATTATCCCCTATAACAAATAAAGGAACATAACCTCAAAATTTATATGAATTTTGACTGTGAATATAGTCGGATTTTATAAAAGCGCGCTCTTTTCGACTAATAAGAAAGTTGTCGTAGCGCAAGCGCAGTTGCGTTTAAGTATAGGGTCAATGGCAACTCGGAGCGCAGTCATAAATATTTATTTCATGTCTTATTAGAAAACATTTAATGAAATGACTAAGTCTGATAACGAAATATATTAAATACAATAATTATTAATAAAAGTTTAAAAAAGTGTAATTAAATAAAACGAACCTTTGCGGTTTATTATTTTAATTCATAATCTGATTTATTAATTTTATTAATGCAAATGATGAAGAAAAGATAAAATATTATTATGAAATTATAGAAACATGAGTATTTTCCAAATTATTTCGTTGTTTCTTCAGGTCAATCTATATATATTATATGTGATGTGTATCAAATATTCCAGACAGTTTGATTGAATTACTTCCATTTAAGAGATAATAGATTATTTATTTATATCTTTTGAAATGATGAACTCATTTCGAAAATAATGAAGTACTAGTAATAATTTTAATAAACGAAATAATATTATAAATTCTAAATAATAACAATCCTCTATTTTTATTTAGAAACGTGTCAGAAAAGATAATATATAATGAAGATTGGCAATTTTGTGCATTATTTAATTTAACTATTTCAAGTGTATAATATCAGAATTGATTTGCCCTGGTTTCTTTTTAGATATATTTTGCACAAAGGCCACTTCACATATTGCAAATCCAATGAATCGAGAGTAAATATTAAGTTTTTTTCTTCATTTTTTTTTAATGTCAGGTTTTGTTAATGGAGCCGACGTATATAGGAAATTGACGACCTGATACTTCGAAGGAACGGGTTTCTCTCTCTTTCGAAAATGTCAGAAATCACCGATCCTCCTGATGAGGTGCGGTTATTGATGAAAATCATAAAGAACCGTAGATATTAGACTTTAAAATAGCGGCTAAGCACGCGTATTTCACTGGATGACGGTTCCTTAGGTAAATCACTAAGATTGACCGCATCCGGATAGTTGCCCAATCGACCAACTTTAACGGCCTCTTGTCACGCCCGTGACATTCCAAAAATGCGAACGTCTCATCTTGCCACTCCCTTTATCTTTACTCGTCTCTTTCTACTATTTTCGTCAAAAAAAAAACTTGGTCGTAAATTAACCTTTTGTTGTGTAACTCTAAAGTCCATTTAAATTATTATATCGATTACCTGCCTGTGACAGAATAATCTTGTCAATAAATATTGATGTCCCTCTTTTTGAGATACTAGAAAATTATACATCTTTCTAACATTTGAATTGAGCTGTATACAAATCAACTTTGTATAAAAAAATAATTGCAATAGTTTTTCCAAATTGTTGCAATAATTTCTTCATTATTTTGTTAGGGTTAATGACATTACAAATTGTGTATGAGTAAAGAAAGTGAGTATAACTCGAATATCTTTTTTGATAGATCTTTCAATATTCATAATGTTACACGTTTTAAAATTAGAGAAGTAACAATGTCATGATAATTAATTAGGAAATTAATTATAATTTATTGATTTCTTCTCTTTGGTCATGACAACCAAAACAAGTATAAAAGAAATATTCATATTTATTGTATTTTTATTTGTTACTTATTAAATTTCTTTAACCTTAATTTGTTGATAATTAAGAATTAATAAATTGAATAAGTCTGTAGGTTTAATTTTATATTTATTAACATACGAACTGTTCATTTCAGAAATTTGATAAAAAATTGACCTCGAAATTGACTTTATTCTTCGATTACAATTTCATTGAGTTAAATCATGAATTTAAAATAGTGTTCTATTACATTTTAACTCTTTAATTATTTTACCAAAAGTAGATTTCGATTAATTAAGAATAAAAAATCGACATAAGAAAATCTAAGGTTTATTTAAACATATCCCTGGGGGTTAATTACGTAACTTTTTCCGGATTCTACTTTTCACATTCCACATTCCGGATTGCATTTTCCACATTCTGGATTTCACATTCCCAATCCCACATTCCGGATTTCATATTCCGGATTCCACTTTCCACATTCCGTATATCTAATTCCGTATTCCAAATCCCACATTCCAGATTCCACTTTCCGTATTCCGCATTCTGGATCTCATATTCCAGATTCCACATTCCGTATACCTGATTCTGGATCTTATATTCCGGATCCAACATTCCGAATACCACATTCCACTTTCCGTATTCCGGATCTCATATTCCGTATTCCACTTTTCACGTTCCGTATACCTGATTCCGGATCCCTTATTTCGGATTCCACTTTCCCCATTCCGGACTCCAAATTCCGTATTCCACTTTTCACGTTCCGTATACCTGATTCCGGATCCCTTATTTCGGATTCCACTTTCCCCATTCCGTACTCCAAATTCCGGATTCCACTTTCCACATTCCAGATCTCACATTCCGGATCCCATATATTCCTGATTCCATATTTCGGAGTTCAGATTTCGAATTATTATAAATTTACACTCTATTGTGTATTTTAAAAAAATTTAAGTAAATATTGGTCTATGGCTCAATGAAACTATTAAATCATTTCTTCTTAAAAAAAAAATTATCCCTTAAAACTTGAAGTGACTTTTGTGACACCTACTTGTGTCGGCTGTAGCGCTTTATTAGGAAATGAGTAATAAATAAACAATACTCGCATTGGGGTACAAATCGCTCAGGAGCCGGAATGTGGAATCCAGAATGTCGGATCCGAAATGTGGAACATTGAAAGTGGAATCCGGAATGTAGAATCCTAGAAAAGTTACGTAATTGACCCCCTGGTCAATATAAATAAATAAAAATAAATAAATAGTCTGGTTTATTGTCATGTTTTTGTCATCATAAATTTGTCGCATTTATGTAACCAGTAAATCCGGAATTAATCAGGTCTAATCCACAGTCAGTTTGATCAGGCGTAACTAGTGAATACAGCAGATTCTATATTTACTGATTATACAAGCCGAATTAATTTCGGATTCGACAGTAGTAATTTTGCACTTATTATTATTTTATTTTGTCCTAGAAAACCATTAGGACAATAATTTAAGTACAATACTCAATTCATAATATATACACAAATGATAATATATAAATTTATAAATTAATTTTTATCTAAAGTTGAATAACAATGATAAAGATAAAAATATAACAATCTTTGTTGATTATAACAGCATAAAAGATACAACGAAAAACCAAAAACAGACTCTACTACTCTCAAGAAAACCAAAGTCTTATGATCCGATTAATTTCGGATTAGACCAGATTAATTCCGGACTTATTAGTCATACAAATAATACTAATTTCGGACTTAACCGGACGAATTCCGAAAAATAGAAATCCAACTCTAAAGCGGACTGTTTCGGATTAATTCCACATTCAGAAATATTAACCAAAGTAGTGACTATTGATTAGAAGGCATAACATATATATCTTTTACGCCGACAGTAAACTGTTAATCTGGATTGTTGAGTACTGTTTGCGAATAGTTTACATACAAATTCTCGATTATTTTTGACTCATTTTGTATTGCTTTTTGATCTAACTAAAATAAAATTGTTACAATTGAGGATTTATTTCATGTCAATTTCGAATTATTCCGTACTGACCTCAATTATATCTTTTCATCCAGACTTATTGCTGACTAATGCGGATCATTTTCAGATTTCCTACAATTTCTGGATTAATCCGAAATGATCTGTCTTATTTAATCTGAAATCGGTCCAAAATTTTAATCAGGAATATTAAATACAATAGCTTATTACGGTGGCATGATCATAGTTTATAACATCAGTTTTAGGTAAATCTAGTATTAAGTAGAATTGTTATACGGTGACGTGACAATAAATAGTGGAAATCTGCCGAAAAATGTCAGAATCAGAGTATGCCAAGAAGAAAGTCTTAATATGTATATACCCAAGTTCCAACAAGTGATTCAATCGAAATTGATGGGTCTAAAAAATGTCACCTATCGACATTCTTGGATGAAGAAGATTGTCGAAGCTGTTTTGTCGGTATTTTAAAGATTTAGAGCTTCAGGATAAGAGGACTTTTGCCGGGGATCAGAGCTACCTACAATGTTACATGCAGGCATTATAAGTAAATATCGTGCGAGGGCGGGTATCCTGACAATGTGAATCTCTGCGTTACACTTGCGCGACCAATTGCGAACCAGCTTCCTTGAGGACGGCCCCAGTCTTGCCGCGATATCCCTCTTCTCTTCCTTTCTCTTGCAAACTATGGGGCTCTCTTGCTCTTCACATATGTACCTGTAACTCTCTCGCCTTTCCAATGCCTGCCTATCGCGATCCCCAAGAATTTCTTGCCAATGCCACCAGGAGAACAATTCAAAGTCATCGATCTTGCCAGCAGCTTCTCGCGTAGGAAAGGCTCCGGATAGCAGATCGTAATGCACAAACAGATTTAGGACTTGGGATACCTTTCAGCCAAGAATTTCTCCCCCTTTTTCTTTCCTTTATGGTCTTTCTTGGGAAACAGGGATAATTAACAATTGTTTGATATGCGCAAACGATACGCTCTGAAAAGTTATAAATTAATTTCTTTTCTTTAGTGTGCAGAATTCGAGAATTTTTTTTCTCCAATATTCTAATCAGATTTTATAAAGTCGACTATAGTAAGAAAATAATTTTTTCTGCTATAAACAATAATTTTAATTTGTCAATGAAAAACTAGTTAGTAAATATTAATAAATGAATTAGTAGTTTTGAATTTGTAATTTCTAATAATTATTACTGAAAAATGTCTTTTTCTTTATTTTGTTAACAGGCATGCACTCCGACAGCATATGATGAGGCATAATGGAAAACAATACAAATGCGGATTACCGGGCTGCATTACTTCGCTACGTACAGAAGCTGAATTGAAAAATCATCAACTGCGAGTTCACGGAAGTCCAGAACAAATATATCAATGCAGTTACTGCAGTTATACCGCTAAATTGCGCTGGCAACTCGCAAGGTATGTTGGTTTTTTAAATTATTGAAAATACAACAATAAACTTTTTAAGTTATCCAGAATACAGTTTCTTTGAATTAAAGCGTACATTGAAATTATTTTACAAAAAAAGTTTATATAAAAAAAGCGATTTTAACGAATAGCAAATTATTCCCATTGAAAATTAATCGTAAAATAATTATTAAAAATTAATGTTGATTAGAAGACATAATTAAATATAAAAACAATAAATTTTACACTTACTTTTAAATTTAACTTACACCCTTTTTTATTGTTATCTAAACATTTAATTCTTATAATAAATCATTTCAAATGAGAGCGTCTTTTTCTACCAATCAGAGAGTTGTAATAGCGCAAGCTATTATAAATTCAGTCGACATTTTGTATATCCATTCTATAGTGTTTCAATTAAGACATGAGGAGATCATTCCCAATTTTTATTTTTAAATTGTAGAGTTTAAAATTATGAAAGTAGAGATAACTTTCAATAAATAATATAGGAAGACTAATTGTATAAGTTAGTAATAAAAATGTCTCAATTCATTTTTTGAAGGGCAGCTATTAATAATTAAAAAATTTCTTTTTGAATTAAGCATGTAAAAATATTAAGAGTCATCGTTATAGAAAAAAGTGTTAAGATAGACGAACTCATTCACAATTTCTCAAGTAAAGCATTTATCGTATATATGATAAAATCGATATTCATTTATCGAGATCCCCAACCGAGACGAGGTATTCCTGTGCCATTTATCGTATCAATATGTTCACATGATCAATGCCTTCGAGGAAGCTGATAATTAATTGCGAGGACACCAATACAAGCTGTGCACTTACACGCATTCACATATGAAAACAATATTGTGTTTGCTTGTCGTCAATTTTAATCCATAACTTCACACGTGACATTGTAATATATACGATAACATCCTAGGGTAGACTGAAAGGAAAGTTAAATAAATAATACGTTTCTAATTTCTACTTTACTAAATTTTTGTAATTATCATGATTAGTCTACATATTTTAAAGAATGTGATATAGTTAAACAATCAATATTCAAGGAGTCAATTACATTATTCCACAATTCGTATTCCACATTTCGTATTACACATTTCGTATTTCACATTCCGTATCTCACATACCGGATCCCACTTTTCACATTTCGGATTCCACATTCCACTTTTCAAATTCCGGATTCCACTTTTCCCATTCTGTATTTCGAATTTCACATTCCGGATTGAATTTTAAAAATTCCGTATTTCAGATTCCACATTCCGAAGTCTTCTTCAAAAATTCCGGATTTTACATTTCACACTCGTATTTCACTTTAAAAATTCCGGATTCGACATCGCACATTCTGAAAGTGGAATCCGGAATACGAAATGTGGAGTATGTATCCGGAATTTTTAAAGTGGAATCCGGATTGTAAAAAGTGGGACCCGGAATGTAGAAATCGGAATATGGAATATGAAAAGTGGGATACGGAATTTGCAATAAGGAATGTAAAAAGTAGATTGCGGAATGTAGGATCCGGAATTTTGAAAGTGGAATCCGAAATGTGGATTCCGGAATGTGAAAAGTGGGATCCGGAAAAAGTTACGTAACTGACCCCCAGTACCGCGTGCAGAAATTGTTACTTTTCATCCCGTTTGCTAGCCTCTTCCACTTTCACCATTCACTTACACTTTTAACATTCACTTTCACCATGTTGTAAAGGATTACTTTGTTTTAATTGCGTTTAGTGATTTGGTGTTTCATTTCTCACTTCCAATAATCGAAAAAATCTCAATTTCTAATATAAAAATAATGGATGGAAAAAATATTTAATATTAATTTTTAAAAAAAATTATATATTTGATGATAATTCAACATGGAAATACAATAACTTTTTGTGAATAAAAAAAATAACATTGACGACATTTGTGTTTCTTGAAGATGTAACAGAAAATTGTGCCCTTCGAATGAGGGCTAATTCATTGGTATATCCTCTTTATTATGTTTATTGACTATTTAAAGAGTCATGGTACTTTCAATGCTGTTGTTTTGTGACTGTAGTAAACTAAGGTGACATTGCCCGTATGGCCCAATAAAAACGCCCACGCTTGCACGCGGATGTAAGTAAAAGTTAAGTGGCGTGTCGGAACGCTTTTTCACTTGCGTTCTTTTTATCGCGTGTGTGGCATTCATCCCAAAAGGATTTCCGTTTATTGACACAGTCGTAAATATGCGACGTTTCTACATTGTAGAAAAATCACACTCAAATTTCTGTGACAGAAAATTGATTACATAATGATTGAAAAACTAAAATTGAATTACAACACGATTGTTAAGTTTAATTGAAATATTTTATTTTTTGTTATTTCTTTAGTTTTATTTTACTTTTTTTTTATTTTACAAGTTCTATAAAATCTTAGTTTGTAAAATTGGTATTTTATTATTATTCTGTGAAATTTATTGATGTTAATTGTGCCCAAAAAAAAGTAGCGGAATCGAAAACGAGGGGTTGCTTTTTAAAAGAAGTTTATTTACTCAATATAGTACTTTTCATTTAGGGGGCGATTTTCCAGCAATTAAGTGACCCTCTGTTTGCACAAACTCTCTTTTTTTCTCTCATTCGTATCATCTTTTCAGCGCGCATTGAAATATAGAGATGGACAAAAAAAGAGAACGACGCGCACATATAGGAATCTACATGCACCACCCGGTATCCCGACGGTCCGTTATAATCGTCGACGATGGTAGTCGCGATATTTCATCGCGAATTGAGTACTTGAGTCGAACGTAACATTGCCACAGAGTGTCGCGCTTCCTCCCACTGCCTCATTCACCCTTTACACTCTTTCACCAATGTCTCTCTCTCTCTTTCTCTTGTGCTCTCATATTTAGTTATACATGAGTGCGACGGAGTAAATCACACGGGTTTTTAATTAAACGTGTCGCGCATTTCGAAACTGATGTATGTATACATGTTGCAATGCCAATGACTCGAAACCATTGGGTAATAATATCGTGCACGCATATCGCATCACTCATAATCAATGGCCGCGAAACTTGCCTCTTTATCTATACATATTGTAACACGGACAATTTTTGTCTGTGTACAAATAAGAAATTAAGTTATTTGATTATAAAAGTAAAAATATTAAAGGATACGTCAAAACTGGAATCATCCTTTTATTTAAGGTTATTTAATTTTATTATAAACTTGTGGTCAAAACCACTAATTTGTCAGATCATAGACAATAAATTCCGTTTGATTCATAGTTTTATAAGTCTCGGTATATTTTTGTTTTACTTTGTTCAAAACTGCGGATACTATCCGGATCAACTGTGGCGACTGAAAATATCAAAGACGAATGGATGTCCCGTGTCCTCAAGGGAAGAGCTGCCTCTGGCATATATAATTGGAAGTGATTCCCGATTATACAAAACCGCCAGGGAGATGAGGATCAGTATTATTTTCGTTCTGTCAAAACAATAAGTGGACAGCCATATTCACTAAAGACGCCGTTTGGTGATATACCACAGTGCCACGCGCGACCAAAAAATAAACTAACTATCACCGTAAGATAATGTTACCGACAATCGAATAATTTATCGATGTAATTAATGAAATTATTGATTTTAATTCATATGAGACTCACCGTGATGAGAGGACCCTGATAAGCGATGCCTTTTGATAGACATTTTCCTAGATACGATCATTCTCGTTTTGGTATGCACAGAGCGTGTTAGTGATAATAAAAAAAATTTCAATTAATAAATCAAGTGCAATTTTGTCAAATCCTGTGATGTCAGGTCGAGGCGAGGTTCTTTGAGACGCCGGCGTAGAATTAACGTATTCTCTCCTTTTTTGGAATTATTAATTGATTTTCTACTTTCTAAATTCTAAATATTGTTTTCACACCATTGATTTTTTATCATTATACGAATCTTTCCTTAGACTCGAGTTAAATTCTTATAATTAACCGTAACAGCATCCAGATATTCAAGATATCCTATGGATGTCCTAGGGATAACCGGAAAGTAGGATGTTAGGGATATTCATAGGTATCCTGAGGACATCCTAGAGGTATCCAAATTTTTTGAATACTGACAGGACGTCCATAGGATATTCTGAAATGTCCGTTGTTGTCAGGGAAATTATCAAAATTTAAACAATGACTTTGGTAATTTTCCTGACAATGCAATATCGATATTGCATCACTGCTAAACAGAAGCCCGATAATATAGCTTCAAGTGAATTTTTTTATGAAGAGAAGAAAACTAAAGAAAATCTCACAATCAGTCGTTTTATATTGACTGTCGAGTTGTGAATGTACATTTAGATAATCATCGCAAATGCATAAATCCATCCCCGACGTCAAACCCGCGTGATATATCTCGACCGCAGTCAAACACCAGGGATATAGCGAGAGTCAAGGCGCGGTCACCCATCTAAGTACTAACTCAGATTAAAGATGCTTAACCCCGCCGACCGCAAGCCAAGGCGATTACCACCCAAGCTATATCATCGGTTTCTCTCTATTTGTATAGATCTATTATATATACACGTGTATAAGGGATCATAGACGTCGCGCCAATAAACTTGCGTCGTGTACACACGACCTCATCTTACATTGATCTTTTATCAAGAGAATATCCTGAGAAAATTAAATGTTATTATAAGCGACGCAACGCAATCGTAAATTTTACTTAGGCAAGATGCTTATCTCTTACTTACTCTATACAAGAATGTCCGAGATTACATATATATATATATATATATATCTGAGGGTAAATTTTCTCGCAAAAAGTCATTATATTTCATCAGAAGTTAACATATAGTTTAAAAACAATTTCTATATTTGCTCTTTCTGCATAAAGTAGTGTTCGAGGATCCAAATACAATCACAACTCTTTATCGTTTTCTGTTTTCTCTAATCTATCCGCGTCTATCGGAATCACATTATTTTCATCTCCCTCACTCAACCGCCTATTCCTTTTCAGCCTAGGCAATGATATTTCAGGAACCTAGTACTTCGGCCACTGCAATCACGCTTCTTGTCACTAGTTTCCACCTAACTTTCACACTCGGTTTATTGTTGGGTTTTTGTCATCCAGAATTAGTCAGACTAAATCCAAAATTTGACCGATTTGTGTAACTAATGAATCCGAAATTAATCAGGTCTAATCGAAAGTCAGGTTGTTCAAATGTAACTAATGAATGCAGATTCTAAATTTACTGATTACACAGGCAGGATTAATTTCGAATTCAATAGTAGTAATTTTGCATTTATTAGTGTATCATCCGATTAATTTCGTATTAGACCGGATTAATCTCTAAATTTTACTGTGACAACTAACTAATATTTTAAATTATTAAAATCACTAAACTTTAACTAAATTAGAACTCAGATTCGATACAAAACAACTCTATATTTAAAACTTAAGTTTATTAATATTTAGATTATTCTTCCCCAATTATTTAATAAATTAGTTTTTCGATTTTTTGGAAGATGTAAGGTAAAAGAAAAAATATAAATTTTGACTTATTTTGAAAAAAATATATTCTACATTCAATTATCTTAAGAGCATATGAAGTACTTATAAATAGTTAGAAAATTTATAGTTATAATTATAACAAATCTATATTATGACGTTCACGTGACCGGATATGATCTAAGAGTCACATGCTGCTAATTACACAACATTCATTATGCGATGTTAAAATACATTTATCTTCTATTTCAGGCATGAAAAAAAGCACAGGCCTCCAGATGACGTGAATGTTAAGCAACATGCGTGTCCCTTTGGTGGCTGTCAATTTCGGGCTGTTTCTACTGGTCATATCAAACGTCACGTCCGTACAATACACACAAATGAGAAACCTTACAAGTGTCGATACTGCACTTACGCCAGTAGCACTTTGGTAACTATTTTTATAATATATATAAATTAGTATACATTTATTTTTATAACCTTTAATTTATAATGAGGAAGGAAAATATATGAAAAGTTGTAATTGCTTTAAAGTATCAATGTATCAATGAATATATTCATTTAATACAGTAAGTATACTAATATTAATACCCTCCTTATGTGTATCTAATGATACAAAAATCAACTTTTGAATTTCTATAACTTAATTTTAAAAATTTATTCTTTAGGAGAAAAAAGATTTGTGTGCACCTATCACAGTTCTGATGGATATTTTTGCAAATAATAGGTTCAAAACACATTATTTCGTAGTTTTTCGAATTTTTACATACGAATCAAATGTCAATATTTCAAAACTCAAAATATAGGAACTAATATAGCGTGAGATTATTAAAAAATTATTCTTATTTGTTGAAAACTTGTCACTCGGGGGTTTCTGAGGTCATTGAATATGAATTTGAAGTCAAGAACTTGAGCATTATTATATATTATTCATATATTCAATTTCTGACAAACCATAAAGGCGAGCCGTTTATTTATACAATTTAGAGATCTGTTGGTTTCTATAAAATATAATTAATTATTTATTAAAAGCCATATTTAGTAAAAAGAAAGAAAATCATTTTCTAAGTTAATGATCCTGCAGTGAATAGGTTAGTGGAAATTAACCTAGGTTTTTAAAAAAATTAATAGAATGCAATTGTTAGAAATATTGACAACACATTTAATTAATGAGGCAAAACAAATTACATAATGAATTGAAAAAAGAAAGTTTATTTAATTTAACCAATTCTCGAGCTTATTTAGAATTTAATAAACAAAAGATAATATTTAGTCGAATTTTATTATTTATCACATTAATCTCTCAAAAATGACGAGAGGATTTTTAAAAATACCCCAAAAAAATCAAAAATTCATATTTTAGCTAAAAAAATTTGTGTTAATTTAAATTCAAGTTAATACATAAAATAATTGTATTTCTTGCATTGAAACGAATCGATTTTGCATATATAGAGTATACGTTACACCCAAAATGAATTAAAATTTTTTTAATTTTTCAAAAAATTTAAGAAATTTAAAACAGTTTTCAACTCGAAATGTTTTAAATCAATGAATTGAATTGGAGAAATTCATTGCTTTCTCCACAAGGAAGCAAATTTTTTGCTTCACACAATGAGGAAGCAAAATGTTTATGAAATAAATATAAAGGACCTCCTCCTTGTTTCTTTTTATTTAACATAGTCGGACAAATTGACTTACCAATTCCTTCTCGAATATCGTTTCCAATTTCATAACAAACTTTTTTAACATTTTTATATGACAAAAGAAAAGTCAGATTTTAACTAATTTATTAAAATTGTGTCAAAAACGTGTCCTTTAACCTGGATGTCAGTAACGTGAATAACGAGCGCCACTGTTCATTAGGTTTTACTTGCCAGAGGGCACATTCTCATTTGCAAAAGGGCGCGTTTATTTAAATTCGCCTTTCACAAAAGACAACAATCGCTCTCGCTGATATGGTATTTACTATTTTTGAAAATACAATTAATTTTGGATTGGCCATGTTAAGTCGAGCTTCAGAGTATTGCATAATAACATAATATAAAATTTTTTCAAACAGCTGTAAATAAGAGACTGTTGGTTTCAGTTGCTCTAGTAGGCTTAATAACACCCTCAAATTGCATTTCAGATTCTTCTCACTCCGATTCTGAGAATCTATTCGTATTCTAAAATGTTTGGCTGCTTCCAAAGAACTTAAACAAATTAAAACATACAGCAGAATCGTAAATAAGAAAATAATAAGTAAGGAAATACGAGGTTTGCTTTTCGGTTTCAGTCGCACATAGTATAAATTTAAAAGAAGTCTAAAAGTTTGGCTTCACCTTACGCCATCTAGGTCGAGAACTAAAAATATGTCATGACACAACATACTTGCAAGTGATATACTTTCATAATTGTGACATCTATAGTTAAAGGTTCATCGAATAATAATAATAATTAATGTTAATAATTTTACTGAAGTGATTCAGTTGCTAAATTACAGCTATTTCTTCAATGAAATCTCATTGATTCAACTTTAGAGCGTATATTAGGACGAATTACTATTAGTCTTTAGACATTTTATGACTGAAATTATATGGACCACTTTTAATTTTTTATTGTGCACATAAAACCTAATATTTTCTTAACAGATTAAGTTTGAATAATTAAATAGAACTATCAACTTAATATGAATCCATTTTAAAAATGGCAAACACAGCTAATAGAGATAAAAACAATAAGGGAATTTTTGGAAAATGATAATTCTATCAGCGGTGCAGAAAACGATAATCTCACAATCAGTACTAATGAAACTGGACATGCTCCAGCTGCATTCCCATAGTCTCTATACTTAGTACTTTCGGCTGGTGTGTATAACCGTTGAAACGCGGTTCGAAAGGCCTCGTAAATCTCGTCTACAGCTTTGATTAACCCTATCGAGGTACCGGGAGCTCGAGACTCATTCATAAAAAGTCGAGGGACCTACCGCGTTGCTTGCGACACACCTTATTCTTTCACTCGCGTGTGCATTTGCTCGAGAAGTGCTACCAGTAAGTGTTGCAGTGTAACACAAACATATATATACATATATATATAACCATACTTTCCTGAACATGGAGAATCCGCACACACTTGTCACAAATAAGCAAAAGTAATCGGTAATTTTTGTTCAGGGCAAGTTTGGGGTGTAAATTAACCGAGGTACACCTTAATGTTGGGATCGAGAGAAGAGCCACAACAACAACCGCCGCCGCCGACACTGCCGCCAGAACGCGATAAGATAACGAGTTAATTGTGCTCACTGGATGCCCACACACGCTCATAGGGCCAGTCATACCGCGGCCGGTATGCTAATGCCCTTTGAAGCTTTTGCTGAGACGCGCCTCGCATATACGAGGGCTTCGTGTCTCTTTGATAGCAACATAAACACATTTCAGTGGCTCTCAGACGCGCATAACCACCGATTAGTTCACTTCTCATTGGTCTTGATTTTTCAAACTCACCTTTTTCTCAACTCACAACTTGTTAGTCCGTAATGAGCAGGACGAACTATGAAATCAACTATTTTTTTATTATCAACATACTTTTTAGATGAAAGTGATAATTAACAGAGAAGATAAATTACAAGATTTATAACGTTGTTTAGTTTCATTGTTCAAGTTTTTATTTTATATTTTTAATATTTTTAAAGATACAAACTATTTTCTGCTGCAAGTATTTATATTAACAGATAATTTTAAACACTATAATTTCTAAGATAATGAATTAACTATACTCTTTTACATTTTTTGCTGTTAAAGGTTAATTCACAATGATGAACAAACTGTTTTAAAGTTATACTCGTATTGCTCTTTTTTCAAGTATAGATTTTTCAATTTGACACATTTTTGGTTAAAAAACCCATCAACTATGGCTGTATATATTCCACACTCTGAAAAAAGTAATCTCATATTTAGATGAAAAATCCTCTTCTAATATCCTCTCAATTTTTTCTCTTAAAACAAAAGTATTCGACTTGAATGTAGAATATTTTTATTCTTTGGTGACTAATAATAAAACAAAACAATTTTTTTGAGGTTCTGATGTCAAAAACATTGAATTAAAGTTAAATAAATAAAGAAATCTATTAATTAATGTAAGTAATTAACTATAAATCATTAATTAATATTTAATATTTAATTAAAGATATTTAATTTAGTGCATGATAATAGCTTTTCTTTATCAGTTTATAACCATAATTGTCAAATTATATGCGAGAGGAAAATCCTCTCAAGTGAAGACTATTACTTTTGATACAATATATAAGAGGAAAATATGCATCAAATTAAGAGGAATTCGCTAGAATCAAGATTACTTTTTTTAGGGTGCAATCATTTTCTATGGTAAACATACAAATAATCCTGGTAGCATTGACCAGTTAGTTAGTTTTTAGTATTTGATTTTTCTAAGATTTGAATGAACGTTAATTTAAGTTCTAAATATTGAGTCATTTTTTATTAAATTTGAGATCTAATTTATTCAAAGTTTAGTGATTTTAGTAATCAAAAATATTCGTTATTTGTTACTAAATTTTGACTAAATTAGATCTCAAATTCAATACTAAATGACTCAATAATTAGAACTTAAATTTACGTTAATTCGAATCTTCGAAAAATCTAATACTAAAAACAATAGAAAAAAGGTGAAACATTATTATAAATAATTATTAAAAATGACTTACAGTTATGCTCTCCAACGATGAATGGACCCATGACGAAAAAACGAGTTATTGTGAATTGATTTGCATTTTAATTTAAACTAATTTTATAATAATTGAACTATGACATTATTTAATTAAATATAAACAACACTTTATATTTATGACTGTAACCACTATTAAAAGACTAGAACCAAGAATACATACTTGAAAACTAAACATGTTCACTCGATGAGGGTTGGATGGCAAGAAACACAGAAAAAAAGGTGAGTAAAAAGTTGTAAAGATAGAGGATAAAAGTCGTTAGGATACAGGGTAAAGGATAAATTTGTGATGGATAAAAATGTTACTAAAATATTACTACAAAAATGGATGTCATATTTGAGTAAACTGTCTAATTTTAATAAAAATATTAGTAATTTTACACTTAACTTATTAAATCCACAAATTTTATATAAATAAGTAATTGCATGTGGAAATATTTTGCCTATAATTATTGTCTATTAATAAAAATATCTTTGACTAATACAACTGACAGCTGACGACAGTGCGTAAATAATCAGAACTGGGAAATTACAACTCAACGTCTGTATTGTTGCACGAAAGCAGAGTTGGGTAGTAACTGAATTTTTTGTGCATATTAGGCTGTGTTAGTTCATCGAGATATTTCGAGTTGAAGATATGACGTCAGAGGCCTGGAGGGACAACAAACAGACGACACAATGTTATTCTTACGGGAATGAAAATTTGTTTCTACTTTCATCAATTTTATTCATACTTTAAACACGGAAAACGCTTGTTGACATATAATAAAATTAAAATGTGTGTTGATAATTAATTTTGTTATATATTTGATTCAATTGCATTAATAGATTCTCTGAATTCGTGATAAAATATAAATATTGAGGTTAGAAAAGTTTGTTTACTAATCACATTTTACATTTTAACATTATTAAACAATATCCAGTATTCATGTTATTAAAAAAGATATAAAATATATATTTTAAGTGGGAATTACCGCAGCAGTAAAAGATTTCAAGTCAGTAAACAAACACCCCTAACCTTAAAATTTATATTTTATCACGAATTCAGAGAATCTATAAATGCAATTGAATCAAATATATAACAAAATTAATTATCAATACACATTTTAATTAGTCAAAGATATTTTTATTAATAGACAATAATTATAGGCAAAATATTTCCACATGCAATTACTTATTTATATAAAATTTGTGGATTTAATAAGTTAAGTGTAAAATTACTAATATTTTTATTAAAATTAGACAGTTTACTCAAATATGACATCCATTTTTCTAGTAATATTTTAGTAACATTTTTATCCATCACAAATTTATCCTTTACCCTGTATCCTAACGACTTTTATCCTCTATCTTTACAACTTTTTACCCACCTTTTTTTCTGTGAAGAGATTTCTTTAATTTTAACAAATCAGAAACATTTTCCTACCTTACTTCTCCCAGAATTCTGAATTCCTAATACTACTAAGCGCTCAGTAAAAAAAAAACTAATTCAGATGAATTGAAATCAAATTACTCTTTTGGCAAGGTACAATTCGTATTTGTTGCTAAGCAAGACTCAGTGAAGCCCTTTGTATATTCAATTTGTCTATTGAATTTGTGCTGACGAATTGAAAAAAATTAAAGCTCAAAGTTTGTTCATTGAATTAGTACGAATAGATAGTTTGGAAGTAGAATTCAGCTTTGTCGAATTCAGGAGAATTGCAACATAGCTCCAATTGGAATTTGTCGCTAAGCGGGATTCACTGAAGTCGAGGATATATTAATTTCAATTCAAATGAATTAGTTTTCATTTGCTGGGCGACTTTTGCAATGTCAATCTCGCGATAACTTGAACATTGGAACCTGTCAATAACCGAAATAAATAGCTTCTTTGTTAATTAAACAATGCCTGCCAACCTAAAACTAACCTAAACTAAATTAATGCAAAATTCCTTAAAAATGGAGAGCCAGTATTTCAACTGGACTTGTGTCAAGTATAGAAAATTCTCAAAATGCAGTAAACATTAAATCATTATTATTCATAGCGAAATTCAAAAAACAAGGATTCAAAAGTTTTATAATGACGATTGGTGCCATTGTGACGCCAATCACAAATAATAACGTCATAACATTTCCACTATATAATTTTCACAATGTTTTAATGTAATTAACCTTTTTTATATTTTATTTTGTATAAAAACCTATTATTAATTTTGACGATTTCCGTTAAACAGCTGATTACAATCGGCTGAATCTGCTCACGCTGCAAACAAAATGCTGATCATTGTTCGATAACAAGTCAAACGCTTTTATAAAATAATAATTTTTTTTATATTTAATTATTGTTTTATTAAATATTAAAGAAATGATAACAGATTTAATAAATAAGGCTTTTGGAACAATCGTCATAGTTTATAACTACAAAGTCCCATTTTAACAATGAATATTTTATAAAATAAAAAATTCCACAAAACTAATTTCGATAAATCATTTACAGGTATTGATCGCATTTTTGCCACATACTCTTTTACTTGGCATACTTAAAAAAAATTATTGCCTCGATCCCAGGTGCGACGAATATCTGTCTAGCACCCTCGGTATGATTGTTTGCTTGGTACTTTAATAAAGAACGAACGTGAGAGCGCGAGACGATTTAACGAGGGGATTCCCCCGTCGAAAAGGCGCACGCTGCGTCAACGAGATTACACGCGCCACTTTCCCTTCTTTCTTTCTTCTTGCGTTCTACTCTACTCTTACAAAATATGATTTACTTCGACACGCTTTCACCTTCTCTCTTTTCTTGTCTTTTTTCTCGCCTAATCTAAAATCCATTCAAAAACAGGAAGTAAATTTTGTTTAAAAAAAAATGAAAATCTAATTTAAATTTCACTCGTATGATTATCTCTTTGATATAATATATTGTATTAAACTTTATCGCTAACATTATTTAAAACCTGAGACTTAAATATACCCTCCAACTTGTTTGTTGCCATTATTCTCTTTGTGGTTTCAAAGTACATACAAATTAAATTTACTATAGCTATATTCGCGCGACTATTATCATCTCAAGTTTTAAGAGGATTCACGGTTGCCTGACTATGCCCATCGTCTTTTATCATTGAGAGTATTTCTGAGGACGTTGGGACCGCGAAAAGATTTACTTATGGGAAATTAAATTTGATGATCGCCGGTGCCATCAACGGCTCGTATAAGCGAAGATGTTTACGACTATACGGTCGGCTACTTAACCGAGTGCCTTAATAGCGCCATACGTTGGCCAATGAACGCGTCCGGTTTATTCCAACATCACTAACTAATCTTCCTTCTCATCCAATGAATACAAATATGAAGACGAACTTGTGCAAATATTCTCCGACAACTTTTCATTTACGACTCATTTTTACAATTCTCACCTTTAACCGCAATAAATGCTCGATTCTATTTTACATACAGATTTGTAAAAAAATTATTCAAATATTCACTAATTTTTTCATTGCACAGTTTTTGAGGAAAATGCTTTTCCTCAAAAAAATTGGTAAATAATCCTTTGCGACAGGCTGGGTCTTCCAAGATAAAAATTAAACAACTAAAAAACTTTCGTCCGTCATATTGAATCTGTTACCATAAATTGGAAAAAACTGATGTCAGAATCGTAATCAGCGACCCCGAAAACCCCTAACTGATAAGTTTCAAATGAATCCGATCAATTTTTTTTAAAATTCCACTATATTGGATTCGCCATCTTGAATTTTTAAAAACTAATGTAAAATTCGTAATCAGCGACCCCGAAAACTCCGGAGTGACGAGTTTCAAAAGAATCTAATCAATTTTTTTTAAATTCTTCCGACATATTGGATCCGCCATCTTGAATTCTCAAAAACGGACTTGAGATTTAAAATCAGTGACCACGAAATCCCCCAAGTGACAAGTTTCAAAAGAATCCGATCAATTTTTTAAAAAATTTTCCGCCATATTGTATTCGCCATCTTGAATTTTCAAAAACGGACTTCAGATTCAAAACTTCCACTTTTTCTAATTTTCATTTGCACTTCCATTTCCACTTTCATTTTTTATAATTTTTATTCTCATTTAAATTTCCACTTTTTATAATTTTCACAGCCACTTTCACTTTCAATTTTTCCAATGTAAGTGAGAAAAATGATTTTAAAAAAGTGGAAGTGAAAATGAAAATTAAAAAAGGAAGTAGAAACGAAAGTAGAAATGAAAATTAGAAAAAGTGGAAGTGAAAATGAAAGTGGGAATGAAAATTAGAAAAAGTGAAAGTGGAATTGGACTCATTAAAATCATTATAAAAGCATGTAAGAAATTGTTGATGAAAAAAAATTAATCTTGGCGAATATGCATTAATATTTGTAGAATTTCCTCGAAATTTTGGAAAAAAAGTTTCCCCCAGAAAATGTTGGAAAATATTCCACAAAATCCTCGCCAAATTTCCATTATCAGAATTTTGGTAAATTTTTCCCAAACACTTTTTTTTTATAATACTACATAATTTCAAACAGCAAAAACAATATATCAAAAGAAAAAAAATACTTTCTAAATTATTGTAATGAGATTTTTGTCTTACTACAATGAATTCTCGATTCTTTTGCCCCATAGAAACGAACAATTTCTACAAACTAAATCTTAAGAGCTCGTAAAAAGTTTTATGATCGAATCGAGACTGTGAAGCGCGTCTCTCAAGGGGAAAGTAAACTGTATAACTTCTAGTAACTTGCCAATTTGAGCGAATTATTGACGATTTTAATATTTTTATCGTAGAATAAATTAATTTGTCATAAAGATCATGTGAATAGTATTTATTTCATAATATTTTTTTTTTTCAGGAAAATCTGAGGAAACATATTCTTTCAACGACTTTACACATTGGCAAAACAATTTATGAGTGCGACGTTTGTAAGGAAAAAGGTCTGGATCCCTACTGCACTAACTTTGCCAAAGAACTCAAGGCTCATTTTATTGAAGAACATTCTGACGAATTTCCATCAATGGAAATTATTAATAACTATGTAACAAATTTTTTTGACTTTGTACATGAATAAAGGGTTCATTTTTTAATTTTGGTAATTATTTTTGTGCCTTTTTTCTTTCACATTTTTTTTGCTTTTGTATATCATAGAAAAAATCTTGACTCAATTTTGTTGCACATTAAAATGAGTGTCGTACACTTCTTATTTTGAATTCAGATTTTTTTCTGTATATATATTTGCATTTGAACTACCAGAAAAAAACCATTTTTTGATCAATCGGTTTTAAGAAGGTAGGAACTACTTATTGATTTATGAAACCTTTCAAAAAAAATTCAAGTCGTTATTTAAAAATATATTATTACACTTTATGAAAATGTGATTTTTGGATATAAGAAGTAAAGAAACGTAAAAATATATAAAAATAATTAAAATGTTGGTAAGCACCTTTCTTCTATTACGAAGTAATAATCAATTCTTATCAATTTTAAAGTTTCTTTCAATTATTTAGTCACCTTATCAGAAAGTCTATATCGCGTGCTTGGAGAGGATTCAAAATAGATTTCTTTGATTTGCGGCTAATAGATTGGGAATTGTGTTTGACAGATTTAGTTATGATTATGCGATAATCTCTGGGAAATTCTTAGTATACCTAAAATTAAATCCAAAGATTTCTATAAAATGACTTAATGTTACTATATAAAATTATTAATGATAAAAGTCATTAATTCTTATCAAAGAGGTAATAAAATAAAAATCAGTTTGAGAAGTCGCTAGCGCCTCCAATAAAACAATTTGTGACTTATATTAATTGCACCTACTCTAAACAATATGAGTTAACCATGGTTTTTCCATAATGATTATTTTGTTATTTATACATAACTTTGCAACTATAGCCTGTTGTTTATTTAATTGTAAAATTAATAATTGAGTAATAAATAAAATATTCGGGAAGTATTCAATTTCGGACATACCGTAAAGGTGAACTGTTTATTCATACAATTTGGCGAGTGCCTAGTTTCTTTAAAATATAATTAATTATTTATTATTAATTAAAAGCCAAATTTAGTAAAAAGAAAGAAAATCATTGTCTAAGTTCACAGAAAATTAAAAGGCATTAAAATAAGCAGCAACCCTTATTATTTTAATCCAATGTTGCCTATTTTAATCCATTTTGATATTAAAATAAGCAAAATTGGATTAAAATAATAAGCGTTGTAGCTTATTTTAATGCCTTATAATTTTCTGTGTTAACCCCTTCGCAGTCCAATTAAAAATCGCTGGTGGGCCTAAAACGGTCCGAAAAAAAAGTTTCCAAAAAAATATGACTTCATCATATTTAAGGTTTTTGTGGTCGCTGAATTCGAATTTGAGGTCAGTTTTTCAAAATTCAAAATGGCGGATCCAATATGGCGGACAAATTTTTAAAAAATCAATCCAATTTGCCTGAAATTTGTTACTCGGGGGTTTTTGGGGTCGCTAAATTCAAATTTAAGGTCAGTTTTTCAAAATTCAAAATGGCGGATCCAATATGGCGGACAAATATTTAAAAAATCAAACCGATTTGCCTGAAATTTGTTACTCAGGGGTTTTTGTGGTCGCTGAATTCGAATTTGAGGTCAGTTTTTCAAAATTCAAAATGGCGGATCCAATATGGCGGACAAATAAAAAAAATTTTTTTTTTAAATTTGTCCGCCATTTTGGATCCGTTATTTTGAATTTCAAAAAACCGACCTCAAATTCGAATTCAGCGATCCCAAAAACCCCCGAGTAACAAATTTCAGGCAAATCGGATTGATTTTTTAAAAATTTGTCCGCCATATTGGATTAGCCATTTTGAATTTTGAAAAACTGACCTCAAATTCGAATTCAGCGACTACGAAAACCCCCGAGTAACAATTTGTGGTCAAAACGCATTAACTTTTAAATTATCCGCCATATTGGGTTGCCATATTGGATCCGCCATTTTGAATTTTGAAAAACCGACCTCAGATTCGTAATCAGAGACCCCGAAAACCCCTGAGCAACGAGTTTCATGTAAATCTGATAAATTTTAAGTTTTCATGGTCGCCATTTTGGGTCCGCCATTTTGTTTTTTTGAAATCTGACTTCAAATTTGGATTCAGCGACCCCAAAAACCCCCGAGTAACAAATTTCAGGCGAATCAAATTAAATTTAGTATAATTTTTTTGCGATGGCCATATATGGCCACTCGCACAAAGGTGGCACGACTTTTTCTGGCCACATATGGGCCCTGGACTGTCAAGGGGTTAATGACCCGGCAGGGAAGAGGTTAATGGAAATTAACCTATGTTTTTAAAAAAATTGATAGAATGCAATTGTTAGAAATATTGACAAAATTTATTTAATTAATGAGGCAAAACAAATTACATAATGAATTGAAAAAAGAAAATTTATTTAATTTAACCAATTCTCAAACTTATTTAGAATTTAATAAACAAAAAATAATATTTAGTCGAAATCTACTGACTCCGACAACAAAACTTATGTTTCCTTTGAATTTAATTTTTCTTTTTATTTAACATAGTCGGACAAATTGACTTACCAATTCCTTCTCGAATATTGTTTCCAATTTCATAACAAACTTTTTTAACATTTTTATGACAAAAGAAGAGTAAGATTTTAACTAATTTATTAAAATTGAATCAAAAACGTATCCTTCAACCTGGATATAAGTAACGTGAATAACGAGCTCCACTGATCGTTCGCTACTGTTCATTAGGTTTTGCTCGCCAGAGGGCGCATTCTCATTTGCAAAAGGGCGCATTTATTTAAATTCGCCTTTCACAAAAGACAACAATCGCTCTCGCTGATATGGTATTTACTATTTTTAAAAATACAATTAATTTTGGATTGGCCATGTTAAGTCAAGCTCCGGAGTATTGACTAATCACATAATATAACATTTTTTCAAATAGCTGTAAATAAGATAATTATATTAATTGCACCTACTTTAAACAATATGAATTAACCATGGTTTTTTCATCATAAGGCAGAATTATGGTTGTAATAAAAAATTTTCTTTTAGCGAATTGTTTATTTTTCTAAAAAGAAAGATATTTTTAAATATCTATTTGAACGAATTAATGAAAAGCTTTAATAGGAGTCTTAAAATCTCCTCTATTAGTAATCAGCATTAAATTCAATTCTAAACTGATGAGTTGAGAAATCGTACTCTCGAGAATGAATGCATGAGAATTTATTCACTAAAAGCTTATGGTTCCCATAACTTGTAATTTCTGTCAAAGCATATCGAAGTAATTGAAGCGACGTTGATGGTGGAATATGTTTAAGGAGGATTTCATTTATCGGGGATCGATCCACATAGGGACAGCTTGAAAAAATGTTGCTACCTATATATGTATATGTGTGTATAGCGATAGAAGATATAAGTGTCGTAAAGTTCTCGGGATGGGAAAAAGAACAACAAGAAGGACGAATAGGACCTGTACGGGAGAACGGAGTGAGCGCGTCACGAGTGTCGAGTGTGAAGAATAATTTATTGACTAATTAACGAGGATGTCCTTCATTACGGGTCGAGTTCGCTTGCTTGGACCCGGCATTATTCGGCGCCCGAATATTTACGACCGGTCCACCTCGAGAGCCTCCGCTTCTATATACATACACTGTTACTGGACCCCATAATGATCTGTCCTGATCTTACGACGATTCGGCACCGTTGTTCGCGTGGAATTTCCTTCCGAAGGGCATCTTTCGACACCAAGATTTAATTCGACTTTGTCTCTTCTACACAAACTCACCAAAATAACAATATATTCGAAGTCCTTTATCTTAGATCTGCGACAATGCTTACGATTAACAAAGAGTGTAATGTTCAGTACTACAGCGAAAAAATAATATTACCGATGAAAATTCATTTGCAAGACCAAGAATCACGGGAGTTAAGTGCAATGTAAAAGTGAAGGTAGAACACTATACGAGACGTTGAGTAACTACTAAAATAATTGTACACTTGACTTTAGCAGTTTTGAGTGGCAAATAAAGCGGGTAATTTAAATTTAGTTTTATAAGTTAAACACTGCAATAAAAAGAAAACAGAAAACGAACTAATTTTAGTAAAAACATCTTTTTCAATGAAATAATACTTGAATTATAGTTCAGAAAAAATATTTTTATTATTTGAAATTAAATCATTAATTTCTGTTTTCTTTTTATTGCAGTATTTTTTAATTAATTTAACAATACTATAATATTTTCAAGCTGGAAATAAATTATTTGTGTATTTTCAAATATCATGAAACTTAATCTATTTTACTTTGACTCTTATATTTTCTAACACCTAGAAAATTTTCTAACGCATGCATTAAGATGCATGAATTTACAAAAATTTTCGAATTATAAAATTGCTACTTATCGACGACTATGATCAATTTTGTTACTTTATGATTTTAATCTCACTTATTCCTTCACTTTTTGAACTTCGACGGTATTTATTTAGAAAGATCGCTTTATTTACTTTTCGTCGCAAATACTCGTGTCACACGACATGTTTCGATGTTGTCAAATACTGCTGGAGTCATAAAGTGACCATTAAAATTTTGAAAATAGTAGCTTCACAACTTCTTCAGTTTTGAGTGGCAGTAACGTCTCGCAAAATGCTCTCCTTCCATCGTTCGTTTCAATGTTGAAAATAATTCTGAATATGGTTTTGTTTTTCTGTATTATCAATCTCATTTGCTACGGATCTGTTGGTTTTTAGTCTTTCTTTTCTGAAAGCACGTGGACAATTTTTAAGCAACTGCAACTTTCATAGTTACTTTAACTGCATCATCATTATTATCACTACTGCTTCAAAACCATTAAGATTTAATCGTCTAAAAGAAAAATTATTTAAAAATTTCATTCTTATTATTAGTGTTAAATTTTGTTATGCAAAATATGGAGGATTTTCGTGTATATTTCAAAATGTAGAGTAAAGAAATAATCAACTAATTTTATTTTGATGAATATTAATGTGTAAATTTATCAGTGCACAATTTGCTCGTGTAGGATGCATTTGTGTAGAATTTATATCGCTCTAAATGAAATCAGATGCAGAAATAGTTGGTGAAATTTTCT